TTTGCTACCCTTCAGAAAACTGCCCTATGCCGATCCTCTCTGAAAAACAAACCCAGAGCTGCCTCCTGTCACATTTTTACCCGAGTGCCCTCACTTGGCACGATGAGTACTTGACTTTTACCCCACGTGGAGAGCAGCTCACAATTCTTTCTGTAATCTCTCATTCTTGAAACCTTTAGATATGGAATGTTGTCTTTAACTTAGATTGCAAAATGCCCAATTATGTGGGTTTTTTTTTAAATCACTTGAAGTTCCAAATGAAGAAAACCTGCCTGGCTTTAGATAAATACCTTAACGAGCAATAGGCAAAGCACCTTGAAATAACACGTAACAAATCTCAAAGCCAGTCTTGCACAGTAGACAGCGAGTCTCTAACTAGACAGGAAGCAGAGCTGTCACAATGGGATAAAAGGATAAAGAGAAATAGCAGTAATTGCTACTTTATCAAATGTACTATCAAACCTGGCTCAATAAAAAGAGGGGAAACACACAGCTGCATAAGCAAATCCCAACCCTTGTTAAGATCAGACACCATAATAAACAGAGAACAGGCCTGGAAGAGTGGAGGCACTTGGATCAGGGGTGAGCAGCACATGGACAGGAGAGGACAGGAGAGTTCCATTGCCGTGCTCACGCGGGGCAAAGATCATGGCGCAGTCCCAAAGTGAGTGGGTAAGAGGGAAGGCTGAGACTCTTAGAACTTCACGACTTGATTTTGTATTTCACGTTGAACAGTCTTCTCTTTCTCTAAGCCTCTTTTCAATTGCCAACTGTGGAGGCTATCACACCCTGCATGGGAAAAACTCAGCCACCCCGCCTCAGCCCAGGGACACCCCTGCCCCTCCCACTCGTCAACTATTGGTGATTGGAGTCTTTTTCCCCTAGGCTGGGGCAGGTTTTAAAAGCACCCAGAAAGAGGGGCTTCTGACTCCCACCGGTCCTTTTGTTTATACATTTACTTATTTATTGCTGGGTTTGAACTCAGGTCTGTGCTTGCCAGGCAGGCACTCTACACTTGAGCTGCTCCCCAGCCCACCACGGCCTTTTGTGACTCCTTTCCTTAATCCATCACCACCCATACTACACGTGTCCTGCCTGGATGCTTTCACACGGGGATCTTCTGATCAGAGACTACATGAGCCTGGAGCAAAAGTGCTGTTTACCAAGGACTGAGGAGGAACTCCTAGACTAGCTCATTCTTTGCAAACCACTGCTAACCTTAGTTGGTTGACTGACTATGCGAGCGGTAAGGCAGGCGTAATTCATCGTACCAGAAGTGACTTACATTCTGTTGCTTGGAATAATCTTGTGTCCCTCTCTAAACCAAGTCACTTGAGGTCTGGGGCAGCTGGAGATGGGCAGCAGGTTGAGGACCGCAGCCTGTCCTTGGGAAACCGTTTTCCTCTGCTCTGTGTCCATGAAATGTCCCATATCTGCAGAGGACAAATGAGACTTAAGTTCTAGCAAACACTTTTCAGAAGGAGCAAGGATCAGAGATGGAATAACTATTTTATGGTACGTTTGGTGACACCACCATACTTAACAGTGGACCAAGCAGGGAGCTGGCTGGGAGTGAGGCGGGAGGCAAAGCCATGCGTCTTCAAAACAGCCAGGTGACACACTGATCTGCAGAGCCAGGCAGCCTCTGTCTTGCTGTGACAGGATGGCTGCAGTTGACCTGACCATGATACTGAAATGACCTGCGGGAGAGCCCCCAGTGCTGGTCCACAACCATCCATGATACTGAAATAAACTTATGGACAGCTCCCAGCGCCTCAGGAAGCAATGCCAACAGAACCAGACATCTAGGATAGCTCCCCAGCACCGGTCCTCACTCCCCCGGGTCCCTCCTCGTCACCTCAGGGTGACTGTCTTCCTAACTGATCTTTTGGGAGCAATACTGCCCAACCACTGGAGAGTTTAAGGGTTCTCTATCCACCCCAATGCTGTTAATTAATTGGGGGAAGCCAGTCTTTGTTCTATGGATTTAAAACATTTAAAAAAAAAATGAGGTCACAGGAAAAAAGAAAACAGCCATTAGAATATAGTTATCAATGGCTAATTTGTAAATTAGAAAACATTTTCAGAAAAATTTCAGTATTATAAAAAGATGTAGATAAATACATTTGCACGCAGGTGCAGCAACAAACACTATGCTTTTAATGTATTCGAGTTTGACAGTTTCTGTAGAAGAGCTCTATTATCTGTGGCTATTTGGTAAAAAATTACTTTCTGTGTGACTGTGTGGTGAACTTGAGGGAAAGATGAAACTTATCAATGAACCCAATCAGGAAAATATTTGTGGTTAATTTTAAAGTGAAGTGCGTCCTAAAGAAAAGGAGAGCGAGGTTAAGAAGAGCCTAAGAGCGAGAGGTGAAGGGTGGGAAGGAGGACATAAATAATGAAGCAAGAGGAAGCTCAAACTCAATTCTGTAAACCAGAATTTAATATAGCATAATAAATTCCTGGCTCTTAACTCACTCAAATATGGTTTAGGTATTGATCTGCACTCTATCTATTATGTTTGCAATTACACTACTGAATAAAAGTTCTGGATTATTCTGTGGACAGATTTAGCTGAGTGATTTCATCAGCCTTACAATTCGGGAAGATGGATGCCTTCGCAGTGAGTGAAAACATAACTGACCGCGGGTCTGCCAGTTGCTCACTGCGTCAGGATGCTTGCGGTGGGACAGTAGGATAAGCAGGTGCTGTTTTATTCACTATCACAGAGCTACAGGCCTTACCTGGGGTCAAAATGACAGACAGAGAATCTTATCGCCAACAGCATGCCCCAGCTCAAGAGCCCCGCTATTCCCTGAGGTCCAGGGCACATTACAGTGTAATTTAAGTTTTGGGAACTTTTTATGCTTTCTTTTAAGCAGGGAGCTGTGCTAGCAGTACATTCAGAATAGAATAAACCAGGCAGCCTGTTTTAGACAGATCCTAGTCTCCACAGACTCTGGATTTCAGAAGACGAAGAGCACAGGCTGTGTTGTCAGGCCTTGTCCTCCACAGGCTCCATTAAAACCCAAGCTCCCTGCATTCCCATGGCGCCTTTCATTGTGTCCAGGGTCCTTCCCCAGGAATGCAGCTGCCCGACAAGGAGCAAGTCACCACACTCACAGCTCCAGGACAGTGACTGTCCACACACATTTGAACAGCTGCAAAGAGATTTCTAGACAAATCTTCATCAGAAAGAGCTGATGAATTACAAAAATGTGCTCTTGGTGGGCTTAACTTTTTATCTGGAACATATTCTGGATCCCAATCTAAATAAAACAGCAGCCGATTCATCAAGTAAGTCATCTTACCCCTCTTTCATCTGCCCAGAGCCTCGGAGCTGTGACACCTGCCTCCGTAACTACTGCCAGGACAGTCTGTGAACTGTCCTCGAATCTCACCAATTTTAACATCCATCCCACGTGAGCCAAAGACAAACTATACACATCTGCAATGGTTACAAGTAATTCTGACTTGCTCCCTGCAGCTGCCCCGCTACATTCTGTATCACCAAGGCCCACACACTGCATACATCCACAATTCCCACACTGTACACATCCACGGTCCACACACCGTACACATCCATGGTCCACACACTGCACACATCCCCGGTCCACACACTGCACACATCCACGGTCCACACTGCACACATCCACGGTCCACACACTGCACACATCCACGGTCCACACACTGCACCACGTACATCCCCACTGTCCACACATCCACGGTCACACACACATCCACGGTCCACACACTGCACACATCCACGGTCCACATGGCACACATCCACGGTCCACACTGCACACATCCACGGTCCACACTGCACACATCCACGGTCCACACACTGCACACATCCACAGTCCACACTGCACACATCCACGGTCCACACACTGCACACATCCACGGTCCACACGGCACACATCCACGGTCCACATCCACGGTCCACACTGCACACATCCACGGTCCACACTGCACACATCCACGGTCCACACTGTACACATCCACGGTCCACACTACACACATTGTATACATACATGCAACCTGAACTTCGGACTTTCTCTGCAAGAGGGCTCCCATTCTGTTCCGCACCACACAGCGGTAATACCCAGCATCAATCTTCTGCAAAGATGGAATGACATACCTGCAAAGACCAAAAAGAAGTGTCAGTGGTCACGTGGAGAACCTGCTCGACAAACAGACCTAAGGTCCATGCAGTCCCTCCCTGACCAAGGCAGGGAGGACAACTGTGAGTTATTTATCAGATTAGTTCATTGAAATCTGCCTCCCTGGCTAGGCTGTGAACAGCCTGAAAAGCCAGGACCCACATCTGTTTCATTTGTCACTGTGCCCTGGAGTCCAGTGCAGCACCATGTGCACAGGAGATACTGCTTTGGAGGGGTTGAATAAATGAGAAATGCTGAGTAGTAAGAGGTAATCACATTTAAACCAGATCTTTCAGTAAAAAATATTAATTTCCACTCTCTGTAGCAGCTCAAAATTTCCAGAAATGACTCAGGACCAGCTGCAGCCTTCACATGATGGATGAGCACCACCTTCGGGATGAGAGGTTGCTGTGTTCAGGGCAAGGACCGGCCTCCCTCTCCTGACACAAGGCACACGCTTCCTTTCCTCCTTCCCCACCTGTGCCTGACAGTAAGTTATTTCTCAGATGACCAAAAGTCATTTCATTCATAGCTTCCATTCTGTGCTATAAATAACCACCCTTCTGGCCCATACCTTCTGAAAACCTTCAGTCTACTTTCATAAGAGAAAAGAAATTAAATGACATAAAACATAAACAGCCCTGCATTATGTTTACTGAGAGTTGTGACTTAGGATGCTTAAAAACCCCAAAGCAAGCCAGATACCAGTGGCTCACACCTGTAATCCCAGCTACTCAGGAGGCAGAGACCAGGAAGATTGTGATTCAAAGCCAGCCCAGGAAGTCACCGAGATGGTATGGCCATATCACAAACAAATCAAGAAGTCTTGAGCCAGCTGCTCTGCGTAGGGATAATACTCAAAATATATCAGGAAGCCTTACATCTCAGGAGCAAAAGAAAAGGCACAATTGAGAAATGGACAAAGGAGTTCAACAGACTTCTCCAGAGGAGATGTGCAAATGGCCAGCAGGTGAAACGGTTCTCATGACACCAGGAAAATACAAACCCAAACCACAGTGAGATGATCCCACACCTGTTAGGATATCTATTATCACAAAACAAATAAAAATAACACATGATGGTGAGGGTGCAGATGGAAAACTTCTGCACACTGTTAGTGGGAACATAAACTGGTGCAACCACTACAGAAAAACATAATGGAGCTCCTAAAAATATTAAAAATAGAACTATCATATAGCCCAGTGATCTCACTTCTGGGGATATTTCCAAAGGAATTGAAATCAGAATCTTGGAAAAAAAAAAAAAAAAACCAATCCCACATTCACTGCAGCTTTACAACAGCCAAACTATAGGAACAACTTAAGTGTCTGTCCACAGATGAATAGATAAAATGTATATAAATATAAGGGAATATTACACAGTCTTGAAAGGGAAAACCATTCCATTTCCAAGAAGATAGATGAGGCTGGAAGATACAGGGCTAAGTGAAAGAAGACAGACACAGAAGGACAAATACTACATAACACTTACAAGATGAACCTAACATCATTAAATCATAGAGGAAGAGAGTGGGGTGGTGGCTGTCAGATGCCGGTGGAGGTAAGTGAGAGGGCCCCAGAGGAAACAAAGTTTCAGTTATAGGAGATGAAATGGCCTCAGGGACCCATTGTACAGCACAGAATTAGCAGCAGGATGTTGAATGAAAATCCAAGAGGTTGGATCTTACTGGGTTCTTTTTCTTTTTGTGGCACTGTGGATGAAACCCCAAAGCCTTACCACTTAAACGACACCCCCAATCCTTTTGTTTGTATATTGTTTTTGAGATAGGGCCTCCCTAACTTTGCCCAGCCTGGCCTTGAACTTGTGATCCTCCTACCTCTACCTCCTGAGTAGCTGGGATTATAGGCGTGAAACACCACACCAGGCCTGTGTGTTCTTATTACACAAAAATGGGAGCCATGAAAAAATAAGGCAGGGAGAAACACTCAGAGGCACTGAAGAGGTTTGTACCATGGGTCATGATGATGGTTTCCTGGGTGTGCGCTC